AAACACGAGATATCAATCTAATTTAGTCTTGAGGTTTCACTAGAGGAAACACAAGATATCAATCAAATTTAGTCATGAGATGCCACAAAACGATTCACGAGATATCAATCTAATTTAGTCTTGAGGTTTCACTAGAGGAAACACGAGATATCAATCTAATTTAGTCTTGAGGTTTCACTAGAGGAAACACGAGATATCAATCTAATTTAGTCTTGAGGTTTCACTAGAGGAAACACGAGATATCAATCAAATTTAGTCTTGAGGTTTCACTAGAGGAAACACGAGATATCAATCAAATTTAGTCATGAGATACCACAAAATGATACACGAGATATCAATCAAATTTAGTCTTGAGGTTTCACTAGAGGAAACACGAGATATCAATCAAATTTAGTCTTGAGGTTTCACTAGAGGAAACACGAGATATCAATCAAATTTAGTCTACAAGCAAGTACACAAAAAGCATAAACATGCTTTATTAAAAACATTATTTTAAAATTTTAACTTCTAGTTCTCAAAAGAGAACAATTTCCCGAAGGGACCATGAAAATAATACAAATCAGTTTGATCAACACTGGTGAAAATGAAATGAAAACATAGCTTCCTGAACAAGTCATATATCAAACTTGTCAGAAAGAATTCAATTCAAAAAATTAATACTTCATCAAAATACATCCTAATCTTGCAAAATTGTGGCAAAATTGTAACGGAACTTGGTCTTTAATAAAGAAATAAAAGATTGAAATTATCAATAAAATAAAAAATCTTATTATTTATAATTGCAACTTCCCTGCGCCACTCTTAAATATATCATCACTATCATAATATATGGCCATAATGAAATATGCATTATTACACAAAAAGGATAAGAGTGATATTAAAAATTAAGCATTGCTATTAAAAAATTGGTATTACACTGTGATTTGCACCAAATGGAATCTCAAACAAGGTGAATTGTTATCCTACTAGGATTAAATAAGAACAAGAAGAGAAAACAAACAAAAATTAAACAAAAGCAAATTTGTTTGGAGAGAACCATGTTACATTTATTTACATTAATATATGATAATCTCAACCAAAGCTTTGAAACACAATAAGAGGTTTCATGTCAGCATCTTTTTATAACTGAATAATAATCCTTTAAACTATTGGGGCCTATCTGGTTTGAAGAGAATGCAAAATCAGGGCAACTAAGTCTCAAACCAGCACCCTTCTCTGTAACTCATCCTCATTCAGGAAAAGTGTCCACCAGCAAACATGGAGTGAAAGAATTAAAGGAGAAATTTGCTGGTCAATCTTTATTTTATAGTAATTGGATAAAAATTACAAAACATAAAACCATATTAAAGTGGGTGATATACCTGAAGAATGGAAATATTTTTTTTCAAACACAGCCTCCATTAAACAACTTTTTCAACCCAAGTAAAAAACAAAATATAAAAAATGTTTTTTTCTAAGTGGAAACATGGAAACAATCAATGTTTTCCCCAAAAAGGTTGAAATTGGTATTGATACATTGTGACAACACTATTACCAATGAAGAGTCTATAGTCACCGGTAATTTAGAAACCTAATTTGAACTAAATAATATACATACTATAAAATTGTTCCAAAGTTTTTTGGAATTCCATTAGTCAACCTCTTTGCCACTAGAAAGAATGGCATCTGGAACCGAACTATTGGGCAGTGGATGGTTTTTACCAATTTTTTATTTATATCAAGTCTAATATCTTAAGAAAGTTCAATTGCCCCTTACTGGCCATCACAACAAGTTTTCACATTGTTTTCAACCTGTTGAAAAATGAATATATATATATATATGAATATTCTCCATCCAAATAAAAAGTTAAAATATATCCTCTGTGGACAAACAACCATTAAAAAATTGGTTTGCAGCAATTGTGTGAAACAAACATACCTAAAAAGGTATATTCAGAGGAGACTATATACACTTTAATCAATTATCAGGAAATGCTATCAAGCAGTATGATTCATGTTTAAGCCAATGGTGGGATTATTGTAATATTGGATCTCAACTTATTATCAAAGATTTCATCATTCTTAAATAATTAACTAGATTGTGGCACTATTATTTAATTCATTTTATTTTATACTTTTTTCTGCAAGCATACAGCTACAACAGATATGTGATCAGATTTAACAAAAATATGGCCAATTAAAAGTTTTTCGAAATTAAAAACTATTGCACTCTTAAGCCTATTAGATCTGCTCCATCATTATGTTTAGGTCATGAATTAGGCTTGCACAAGTGTATTATAAGACAGTGCTTATAAGCTAGTTGTGTCCTAATACATTGATTAGTTTAAATACACATAACAAAACAATGCTATTATCTTTGACTGACAGACTGCAATACAACTCGCGTATGTCATTTACTACGCACATTAATAACGTTCGCAATAGAGCCGCGTTCGTCTCCGGCCGGCTACACAACTTAACTAACGCTAAAAGTAAAATGCCCTTAAGGCACAAATTATTATTATATAAGACCTGCGTACGACCTATTATGTCTTACGCATGCATGACCTTCGCCCACACGCACCCTACTCGCTTGTACAAGTTGCAAATAGTACAAAATAAGTTCATCCGCCGCGCAACCGGTGCGCAGTGGTATCAACGCAACGTCGACCTGCACAGCGATTGCAGACTCACGACGATTCGCGAATATTTTAAAGACCTGACCAAACGGTTCTTCGATAGAGCCGAACATCATCCCAACCCTCTGGTGGTAAGCGCAGCAAATTACCAACCCGACAAAAACGCGAACGTCAACAAGCGTCGCCCGCGAAACGTCCTAATCGACCCGGTCGAGGAAGGGGACTTAGACACGCCGGACCCACTGCTGCGGGGGGGGTCCCGCCGGACAACACTACACCCACAGTTAGTGCAACAACAAACACACTAGTTCGCCCTCGCCTCCGAGCACGGCGAGACCAACACAACGCGTACACAAGGTACACCCGCGTTCCGGGGCGGTTCTCACCGCCCCCAGCCACCGATTAGCTAATTGCACAGTCGACGGCCATCGGGGTTTCGGTCCGAACCACGACCTCGATGGCCCTTAGATGACGTACCATAGTTAATCGCGCGCATGAGCACATGCGTGGCCCTACCCACAGCGGAGGGCCCAAACTTGTGGGTTCTGGCTAGCCCATCGGTTCTGCGTCAGATGAAGCTTTAATAGTCTCGGGACTGAAAGCAAAAACATCAGTTAATACAAGATACAAGATACTGCAATACCGTTTCTCTTATAAAATTAGAAAATATTATGATATATTGAATTGGGGTATAGATACTCAATATTCAAAAGCCCACAGTACTACAAAACGTATAAACATTGATTATAAAAAGAAGAACTGCAGATTGGACTTAATCCTCCAATATCTTTGCTCGCTTTAATTATTGAACTGTAATAAATGAAAATAACTTTTATTTTCTGGTATAATGGAAAGTATTCAGTTAACACTGATTACATTGATACTGATGTATTATAAACAATTAAAATTATATACCTGCAATCTTTATTCTTTAAACATCTACATAGTTAAAACACAGACGAGGCGTTAACGAATATAATTAATTGATCAAAGTAACTTACCTGTAAGTGACCTTCGATCAAAATTATATGAAGTTAACGCCTCGTCTGTGTGTAACCCACCCTTTCTATCTTGAAACATGTAATAATTAGTTTCTTTTCTTCCCACCCCTTTTAAAAGATTGCTATGAAGTAACTATTATCTACATAATTTTAATTTTTTACTTTAAACTTTCAATGACAGCAGGAGTGGAGCGGGGTTGCTATTAATAAATGGGTGATACAGATTAAAAATATTTATTTTCTTTAAATGTTCGTGACTGTTTGGTACTATCTCTTATCTTAGGAGTACAAGCGATGTTGTTTCGATGTCATCATGATCGCCTAGCCTACGGTAGGTCACTGTTTGACATAAATTGGAAAGAAAATGAAAAGAGGCATTCATCCCTCGCTTCTATTTTGAAATTCTCATTGTAAAGGTCGAGGTCATAGATGAAAAATACATGTAGTTTTATAAAAATATGCTTTTCACACGTTTTCAGTGTCTAGTTTATTTGGAAATTGTTCAGCAGCTGCAATTATACCTAACAGATGAGGGGCAAGCATAATAATTAAAAAAGAGCAATTAAAAGTACATCTCGGTCTCAACATGAAGTACGTCACTAGTAAAATACTTTAAAACTAAAATCAAACCGAAAGGTAATTTTGTAATTAAAGGACAAAATTCTAAGATGTAACTTATTTCGGATTTAACTATCGCGTTTAATTTGTTTTTACATTACCGAAGTTCCTGGATCACTATAAAACATTCTTTGCAATGTGTAGTAAAAAATGGGGAGTAAAAAAACAAAATTAAATTCCTAAAAACGTTTTCATTTAATTAGTCATTAAAATCATCGCTATTAAGTAATGAGGAGATAACCAACTCACTATCAATGTAATCTTATCGAAACCATTTAATATTCGATTAATTTTAATTATACTAACGGAGCGATTAACTAAAATGAGATTTAAGCAAACTAGAATCAATTCCACACCGATTGATTTGTAAACATGAAACCCATATTTTAGTATTTTCTTCTTTAATTTTTTTTAAACATTGCCCTTTGTGATAACATTATACTGTGATGTAAGGACGTTTTACAAACATAAATTTCACGTGGACAAACACCCAGACGCGAAACAACTATCTGTGGGTCACACAAATAGTTGTCCCGTGTGGGAATCGCACCCACGACCACCGACGCCGAAGCAAATACCTTGGCAACTGCGAGAGAGTCATCCGCCTCGGAGTCATCCGCCATGGAGACATCCGCCATGGAGGCATCCGCCATGGAGTCATACGCCACGGAGTCATACGCCACGGAGTCATACGCCACGGAGTCATTCGCCACGGAGTCATTAATAGTCTTGTGTTAACGCGACGCTATTACGTTTATTGCAGGACAGGGTGTTGAACATCACTAGCCAGATTATGGACCAAGTTCTGGGCGACGAGAGGGTGGCACGAGGCTTCAGGGTCAAGTTCCCCGAGGACGTGCTCCAGGACAACCTCGCAGGTCAGCTGTGGTTCGGTGCTGAGGTGAGCGCACATTGACGTAATCCACATGTTGACGGATGAAGACGACATTAATCGCAGGAGATAAAAATATACTATACGACACATTCTTTTTACACAACGCTCTCTAGTCCAAAACTAAGTAACGCTTGTACTATGGGTATTAGAAAACTGATAGACATACTTAAACATACTTTTCTTTTGTTAATGAATACTAAACACATATAAACACCCAGACACTAGAAAAACACTATGCTAATCACATAATATTTTTCCAGTAGTGGGGATCGAACCCACACCCTCTGGCGCAGAAGGCAGGTACACTACCGACTACGCCATTCGGGTTGTCGCCAGATAAAGTAAATTATAGGAAAGTGACGGCGAAAGTAATGATTTTCTTTTATGTGAGAAGGTTGAAAGCTGGATGGACTGTGCGAAGAATGATAATGTGTCTGTGAAACGGGTAAGTAAGTATTGAGATGACGGCTTGATAGAGGAAGGTAGAAGGAAAGTACATGTTGCGTCGACCCCACTTAGCGTGGGATGAGGGCAGGAGAATGAAGAAGTGTGACGGTTGAAAGCGCGCTGGCGGTTCACCCGATGTTAAGTAATAATCACCGCCCATTGACATTTGCAACACCCGTTGGTAGATAGTTGGCCCCGGCTGTCTTGCCAATCAGACGAAACGCAACGACTTCACGCCGGTCTCCTGTGAGGTCGTGATATCTACCTGAACGTAGCTGTCCACACGTGCAACAGAGAAAACTGTTGCGTGGCCCCACAACGGTTAAAATTTGTTTTAACAAATAATTTAAATGAGTAAACTATTTTATTGTAAAACTTTGATTGATAAACCACAAAATGTTAATGAATGTTGAATTTGAATTTTCACAGTAGACTGTTTGTAAGTATACTACTCATAATAATGTAAGTAGTATTTTCGTTCGAGAAGTCAACTTTAGGCTCCATTTGAAAATCAGTGCTGCGGTATAATAGAACTGCAGCAATTTTCTGAAATGGAGTTCCAATTTGACATCACATAGTTCTTTTTCTGTATCTTTTGTTTTAATGTGTATTATTTAAGTGATATCAAATAAATAGACTTTCTTTCTTTCAAAGTCACAAAAAAATCATAAAGAATTATAGAGTTTAACGAGTAACCTTATGCTAAATGAGGACCATAATGTTGTTTACATTGTTAAAACAATTTGTGACCATCAATGCTGAGTTTACAATGAATAACTGTTTTACATTAAGATAATATTGAAATAATGCATACATTGTAAACTTATACATTAGTTGCAAGTATAAAAAAAAAGTTGAAACTCAATTTGTTATAGAAATTGTCAGCCGTTTTTAGTTGCTGAATAAAACTGATTTAAAACATCTTATCAAAAGCAGCTCTCTCTATTATACTTTTTTTTGTGTTATCAAAATGCGTATGAAACAAATTATTTATTATATCTATTTACTACGCAGTTGCAATAAAAAGATTCCTAAAATAAATCACTGCTCCAGCTTAAGTGCTACTTTAATATTTCAATTTCTGAATGCTCGTTCCCTTGATGTTTTTGCTTTTAGTCGTTTGTTTGACTTTAAATATTCGTCTCACGCGGCTCTCAGGCTTGGGTCTACTACAGTTATGTTAGATCAATTTGAATTGATACTTACATAGTGTTTTTGTGTAATGGATCGTGGATTATCTGTTGAAATGCCCAAATAAATATGCAGAGGTACATAAAGCGTGTATCTTTGATCTAATAAATGGATGCTGTCTGATCCTGTATTTCGGCTTTTCCCGCCTTTCCTACCTGAAACGAACTAGTTGGTGTGCAATGTAAACTTTATTTTAATGCAATTTGTCTTTCTGTCATCAATTTTAACACGACGATGTGCGACACACACTAGCACATTAAACACTTATTTTCTTTATTTTATTTATAGCCTGAATTGATACGAGTTCAGCAAAATCACACACGTATCCCAATTGATAAAAGTTTTGTTTCCCTAAAATGCGAATATAAAAAGTTAGTATTGAACTAAACACAAACAATTTTCATCGAAACTGCAATAAAACTCACAGCACAGTTTACATTACATACCTAACCATACCTCAGTTTTTATCCGCACGGCCGTATAGTTTTTCCCGATATTAAAATCCTTATTAATATTATAAAGGCGAAAGTTTGTATGTATGGATGGATGTTTGTTGCTCTTTCACGCAAATACTGCTGAATGTATTTTAATGAAACTACAATAATATAGCTTATACATATATCAGAATAAGACTGAATTTATATAGGTACTTATTTAATGTATATCGTTCTTTCTCTCTGAATGTTACGCCTTCAGCCTTTTCTAGGCAATCGTAGTCGCGGGCAGCAGCTAGTACGCTACATTCCGAAGCAATACTTATACAATGTGGTGTCTGTTGGACCCGCAGTGCCTGGCGGCCGGCTCGTCGATAATGAACCGCGAGGAGGAGTCTGCCGCCATGAGACCACTGGCGAAGGCCCTCACCCGAAGCCTGGAGACGGTGAGGTCCCTTCTGCGGGAGCAGTGCTTGCGCCCCAGGGGTCTGGCGCTCTCGCAGCACGACGACATGCTGCACGAGAGCCTGAGGATATTCGATCGGTGAGTGCGTAGCCAATGATATCTTCACTGCATGGTATAAAACAATGTCGTCACGCCGTCTGTCTGTCCCTATGTATGCTTAGATCTTTATCGAAGCCGAGGCGGGTCGGTAGTATATATTTATATAATTTTTCTGTACGTGTGTATGTCCCTGATTTTCCCCTAAACGGCTGGACCGATTTCAATGAAACTTTTTGTATGTCTTCAGGTCGATCCGAGAATGGTTTAGATTCACAATTAATTTTTTTGACTTGTTGTCGGATTTAAGTGTTCATGCGAAAAGTTGTCAAACGCGCTGACGGTTCACCTGATGTTAAGTGAATACCGCCGCCCATGGACATCTGTCACACCCGAGGGTTACAGATGCGTTGACAACCTTTTGAAAATTGGGCTCCGGCTACCTCACTCACCAGACGAAACGCGAAAGTATTTGTCATACTTACACTTTACGCTGGTCTTCTGTGTGTGAGGTCGTGCTACTTACCCGGACGGGCCTGCCCATTCGTGCAACAGCCCAAGCTGCTGCGTGGCCCTACCACCGTAAGATAATTCCAAATTCAAATTAGGAAAATGTTTAATAACATTTTCATTTGTTTTTCTTACTGTTAAGATGAGTGATAAAGTGGCTTACGAGCTGGCGGTTCACCTGTTGTTAAGTGATAACAGGCGCCCATGGACATGTGCAACACAAACATTGGATGCAAATGCGTTGCCACCTTTAAAAAAAGGGGGCTCCGGCTATCACCAGGCGAAACGCAGAAGTGTAACACTTCTGCTTTACGCCGGTCGTCTGCGCGGTCGTGGTGCTCACCCGGACGGACCTGCCATTCATGCAACAGTGAACACTGTTGCGTGGTCCAACCACAATTGGTTGTGCGTTTGGTGGCGTAATGCAGTAAATAACGAACCGCCAACAATAATACTCAGACGTCTCCAACGCCTCAGTCTGCCCCGTGGCCATGAACGATGAAAAACGTCGGGAAATAAAATTCGGAATAAAAGCGATGAATCTGTGAAGTTATTTTCATTTGGCGATGTGTAATCGCGTTAATACAGGAAATTATTAGATCAAAAAGAAGTTTGTTATAAGTACAGTGCAAATCTAATATAATGTGCCGTCATTAAATGATCGCATGGAATATGAAATGAACAAACCAAATTGATCAATTTGGTTTGTTCATTCTGCAAATGATAAAACGATGATACAAGTTGAAGAATAATTATTTTTTAATAAAACAGAAAACCAAGCAAACATGTCAAAAAACCATAATGATAAAAAACTAAATCATTTATCAAAATAGCAAAGATGTCCGCAACAGAATATTTTTTTGTAAACATTTCCCTTAGTGTCGATCAACATTATCCTGTGTTGTAAGGAACTATCACAAACTTCAGGTGGACAAACACCCAGTTGCGGAACAACTATCTGTGGGTCACACAAACAGTTGTCCCGTGTGGGGATCGAACCCACGACCCCTGACTGCACCACGGAGTCATAGATTTTTTTATAAACACTGCCCTTACTTTAGGATAACATTATCCTCTGTTGTAAGGACGTTTTACAAATATAAATAATTATGGTCCCACCACCCAGATCATCAGAGTCATCGTATGTGTACGTTTAATTTGCAGTTTGTTCGCCGAATTCGAACTGTGCTACGTGAGCGCGATGGTGAACGTGAAGACGCCGCACGAATTCGAAGCGCAACAGCTGATCTGCGTCCTCTTCTCCGAGAGTCTTGGACGAGCGCTGAAGCAGGGATTGCTCACCCAGGAGCAGGTAACTGTTCTAGCTATTAAAGCCCGGTTCCTATATTCAACGTACGACCGTAAGTTACATAGCTTCGTTACTTTCATAACGACTCATAATTATGTCCGGTTCCTATATTCAACGACTGACCGTTAGTTACATAGCTTCTTAACTTTCATAACGACTTGTGGATTAAAGGAACGCTAGCAACTCACTCTCCGTAGGTAACGCAACGGCTCGTAAGGAAAACGCCTCGTTTTGCTAATATAGGAACCGGGCGTACACACCTTTAATCCACAGGTCGTAGGAACCGGGCATTAAATGTTATTAAACACGTAAACATATGAGAAGCTGTCTTAAAGTCGTCTCGATAAGATTCTTCATTAGATTTATGGGGCTGCATTTGCGAATGTAGGTATATAAACACTTAACTGTCTTTAAATACGTCCGTATCGGGACCTAACATATCTTAAAGAATCATTAATAATCCTTGATTAACTGTTAGTAAAAACGTTCATATGAGAAGATGACGTAAAGTCGGATAAGTTTCTTCTTTAGATTTCAATATCTTAAAGTATCATTGATAAATCTATATTTAACTGTTAGTAAACACGTTCCTGTGAGAACATGTCTTAAAAGTTTCTTCTTTAGATTTGAAAGCTGACGATTCGTATGTCGCAGGTGGACTCTTACGATCCCGCTTTGATGTTCGCCGTGCCCCGTTTGGCCATCGTCAGCGGTTTGCTTATCTACTCGAGTGGGCCGCTGAGCATAGACAAACCGCCAGGTACCAAATCCACGTACCGTCCGAGCAATGAAAAAATATATATAGTATAAAATTATTAATCGTAAGTAATAGTATCGTAATAAAAGTAACCGTAAGTAACAAAAGAAATAACTCAAATTATAGCTTGAAAAATGTTGTCTAAGAAACGTATTTCTTTTGTAGTGTCTGGATATTTATCTGTTACGTATTTATTTAAAAAATAAAAGCATGTTGTATTAAGTTTATCAGTTATATTGTACCCATAGTACAAGCTTCGCTTAGTTTGGGACTAGATAACAGAAATATTGATTTATTAATAAACAAAAGTCGTCCAATGGAGAAGTTGGCCAATTTAATTAATAAAAGAACTACTTTATTTTTTTACGTGGGAAAAATCTTTTATGGATCCCCTGCGACTGGACCGGGGGAGGGGTAGGGGTAGGGGTATATGGCAGACCCATACAGAAACCGGTACCCATTAAAAACGCACGTTGCAAGTTTCTCTGTCGCATCGACACGGGAACACGAAGACGCAATCTTGCGCTACCCCGTCACGACTATAGCCTTGTTAGGCCTCCTCTTCTCGGGTACTACGGCACCCAGTTCGGCTAAATGGTGCTGTGCCGGTGCACTAGCAAAGCATAAGCTCCCCTCACGAGCCCCATATACAGCAGCAGGCACCACCATGTCTGGCGTTCGGGGTCTCACTATGAGGGGGGAAGATATCCGTGGTTGCCCCACTTTTGGTCTCTCAATTAAATAACCACTGTTCGCCCACAATAACGCTTCCAGAGGAGATGTCGGACATGTTCCGGCCGTTCCGCACCCTCCTGCACAAGATCCGGTCGTTGCTGTGGACGCTGGAGAGGCGAGAGCTTCTCGCCCTGGAGAGGCTGCTCTGCACCAACGAGGATATCTCCAGCCTAGCGGGCCTCGGCTTACAGCAAAGTGAGCACGTATACACAGACAGACGTTTATTGAAGTGAAACTTCTAATGCGACTTCCAACAAGGTTGTGTTAAACGTTTCACGCCACCATGGAGAGGGTATGAAAGCACTGTTGCGTTAAACGTTAAACGCTCCTGGGGAGGGGGAATAGAAAGAGACAGAGCGAGAGTGAATGCGTGGCACTCGAAGTTTCACTTCCTCCTCGCGGAGTGACTCCGCTTTTTATTTATTATCACTATTTATTTCACTATTTATTTGTACGCCAAACTTTTGTTAAACAATAAATAAAAATAAGATTGCTAGGATTTAAACTTTTTTTTTTAAGAAAATTTATTTAAAACATTACTCAACCACCTGCTAGGAAGTGTCCATGGAATTGAATACTTTAAGATGATGTTACTTTACCGTAATTCGTACATTTCAAAGTGAACGCTCAAAGTATTGTTACAACGATCGCTGCACCACATTATGAATTTATATGATATTGCTGTTTTTTTCTGCTCACACTACAATCCATAATCTCAAAGTAAAACCACGTTTAAAACTGTTTCAGCTGTGGAGACGACTTCCGACACGGCCTGCCACTATCCGGACATTGGAGAGTTCGTATCCAAGTTCTACGCAGATCACGCGCACTGCCGCGACCTCTACACCACGCAAAGGTAGGTATAACTGATATAATGCCACAATTACTATTCGTAGTTTTAATTGATTTAGTTTTTATTGTAAACTAGGTAAAGCCCGTCTATTTCGCCCGCGGATCGAGTTACGGAATGAATTTGAACCGTAACATAGACGAATATTATAATAATAGTTATTGAATAGTTATAATAATTATTCTCCTCAATTAAACCAAATGTAACAAATTATTAAAAACAATTTAATTGTCAATTAAAAAAAAATGGTAGTGGTGCCGCAATACGAATCATGTTAAAAATTGCAAATAAATAGTATTATATATGTGTGCAAGAATGTTGCAAGAAACCTTGCGATTGCACAGATATCCTAATTTTTTATGAGTCCCATACAAATTTTTCGTTAAAAAATCACCTCTTTCATTTGTTCATACGATTGCCGCATTCGACACTTATCATCGTGAGCAGAACCAATTTCAATTCAAAAAAGGACCCTTTAAAATTCAACATACAACAACAAAAAATACATAACTTCGTAACTTTCATAACGACTTGTTGTAACGACTTCATAATGAATATGTAACTAACGGCCGTTCGTTGTATATAGGAACCGAGCATATGTTAACGCTTGCTCGTTTCCAGTTCCAGCGAACCGACTATCACGGACGGCGACTACTTGCCGGACAACATCGAAGTGATGACGCCGATCATAGACGGGCTGAGGCGGCTCACCGAGGGCAGCGGGACGACCCACAGCGACGACGAAGCGGAAGCGAGGTCCACACCGCACCGCTGCTCCGACACACTCCACACGGGCGAGGGCCGCGACGCGGAAAGATCTAGAAAGCCTAGCCGCGCGGAGGTCAACGACCTCGCCTCCCTCCGCAACCTCTCCACCGGCGGCCTGATGATGTTCGACCCGCTCGTCATAAACGCGATGAGCGCCTCCACGTCCGCCGAGAGCGGCCGCCAGCTGCCCGACCACGACCTGGTGACGTCACTCAACGAACAGGTGACCGAGATCGCGGACCGGCTCTCGTCGTTCGCGACCGACATGGACCCCCTCGAGCACAATCCCGTTCACTCGTTCTCCGCGAACGACGTGCCGGCGCTCGTCTCGATCGGCGGCGCGGACGCGTACGCCGGCCCGAGGAATGAGCAGCTCAGCTGCATGCCGTCCACCAGCCACGGCTACCTGATACCGAACGCGATCAGCCAGGAGCCGGCAGTGCTGGCGTCGCTCTCGCACAACAGCTCGGCCGTGTTCGCCCCTGAGGGGGAGCCAGACTGCGACGGGCAGCTGCTCGGAGCGGACGCGCCTATCAACTCGCTCATGATGGCAGACGGAATCGACGCGGAAATCGTGAGCGCGAACATATGCATTGCGAACGCGAACTTGAGCTCGCTGCTGCTGACCAACGACGAGATGAGGCGGAGCTTCGCTGACCCGAGCGGCGAGGCGGCGGCCGGGGAGCGGGTCAGCTTCGTGCTCGGCTACGAGAGCGAGCAGGAGTCGGCAGCCGACTCGGGGGTCAGCACGGAGAACGCCAGCCTCGACCGCTCGCCTGACTCTGACCAGGTCGGGGACGGCTTCATGCAGCGGAACCGCGTGCTGAGCGGCGCAGACGGCCAGAGTGAAGGAGCGGTTAAGAGCCAGGGTGTCCTGGAGGGTTCGTTCTCGAACGCCGATGACGTCACGGTGGACGTCAACTACGCGGAGGCCGAGATGCAGAAGAGCGAAGCGGGCTCCTCCAATATAATGGACGGTGTGGATATAGAGAGGCTCGGTGAAACGGACGCGACTAACGACGCGGCGAGCGTAAACAGCGTAAAGACCCTGGACTGGGAGAACACTGAGCATCACAGGACGATAGACGAAGTTTTAAAAGAGCTGAGGAGGAGTTCGGAGAAGAGTGTAGAGGAAGAGAGCAGTCGCGGCTCCGGAGCGGAGTCGGCTAACACCTCGCAGAGCGGCACCAGACAGAGGAAGACGAGGAAGTGCACAAGCGCCAAGAGCAAGAAGAAGAAGGGCAAGATGTGGTCGCCGGGCATCGTGATATTGGACAACCGGAACATGCACACTCAGAACCCTCTGAGGTTGAACTTGGATCATTACATGGACGAGAGGTTTGTTTTTCTAATGTTTTGATTATTATCATCGCGCACAGCAATTATTTCAGTAAATTCTTTATTTATCATGAATTATTCAGCTAGAGAACATAGGAAAATAAGTCTTAATTTAAGTATTTTTTTTTTATTATGAAAAGTTGCTAAGCGAGGAGACGTTTCACCTGATGTTAAGTGAATACCGCCGCCCATGGACATCTGCTACACCCAAGGGTTGCAGACGCCGTTGACAACCGTTTGAAAATTGGGCTCCGGCCACCTAAGTAATCAATTCTACGAATGCGTAATCCATTAAAATAGTTTGGAAATGCCCTAAATAATTAATTCTTAAATAATGTCTGATAATGCTATCTATTGACAATTTGTTTCAATGAAAAATAGCTAACTAGACTGAATTTAATCGTTATTCTTAAAAACGGGACACCTTTTAACTAATAAATACTTTAAAGTAAAAAAGGACCTACAAAGGTATTGAGGGCAGTCCACTACGCTACCCCACTTCGGATTGACGGACTTCACGTAACTTATAATATCATATTTATCATAATCTATGAAGTAGGAAGGTTTGTCCGCATGATGTTATCCTTCACCGCTGAGCATGTTAAGTCAGCACCTAAAATTAACAATTTCATTGGTCGAATTTCAATTATTTTTTTACCATTAATAATAATAATAAATAAAAAAAATATATTTCGGGATATATTTTTACACAACATTATTTAGTCCCAAACTAAGCAACGCTTGTTACTATGGATACTGCTTTTTTGTTAATAAATACATAAATACATATTATAGATATATAAACACCCTGACACTGGAAAACACTATGATCATTACACAATATTTTTCCAGTAGTGGGAATCGAACCCACACCCTCTGGCGCAAGAACAGGTTTACTATCCACTACGCCAATTGAGTCACCAAATTCGCGCGGGTCAAAAAGTCATACCATAATTCTTCTTCTGCCAATGTCATGTCAGTCATGGGAGTCACACTTAATAAAGTACAATTCACATTTAAAGGTATCACATTACCAAAGTAAGTTAACAGACTTATATTATTAATACTTATAAAGTTACACAAGATATTTATAAACGCAGTGAAAACCAAGGTTTAACAAACAAGGCACATTTACAGGACGAGGAATTATAAGGAAAAATCAAAATGGGAATTTCTAAGCTTTGAACAATTAAAAAATATATGATTAATGGAACCTTCGTCAAGACCACATTCACAGATTGAGCTGTCCCTTGTACACACGATAATTGTGCCTGTGTGCGTTTTCAGCGGGGCGTTGTGTGTGTCAGAGTGTGCGGACGACGAGCAGATCGCCCTTGCTCTGCAGGCCCAGGAGTTGGCGGCGAGGCAGCAGGCGAGGGGCAAGTTCAAGTGCGTCAAGTCTCCTTGGTTACTTATTGAACTAGCTGGCACCCGCGACTCTGTCTGCGTTGCTCATTACATTAACAGTGCAGAGGAAGAAACTTCATTACAACACAGGATAATGTTATTCTACATTCTACAATAATGGCAATGTTTTAAAAAAAAATCAACTTAACGCTATTTATATTTATGTAAAACGTCTTTATAAAACCGGATAACGTTATCCTGCAATAAGGGCAAGTTATAGATGAAGATCATTTATACAAACGACTAACGGCCGATTTCTATATTCAATCTACAGATAGATTTGGTTACTAGTGACACGTATTTGACATTAGCTCCATAACTACTACCTATAACTTACGTCAAAAATCTATCTCCAATAACAAAATCTATCTGTAGATAGAATATTGAAACCGGCCGTTAGATTAATGGCTAAAACTTAAAGTCCGGTTTCTATATTCAACGAACGGCCCTTAGTTACATAGTTTTGTAACTTTTATCCTATATTAACAGAGCGGGGCGTTTTCCTTTAGGAGCCGTTGCGTTACCTACGGAAAGTGAGTTACTAGCGTTCCTTTAATCTACAAGTCGTTATGGAAGTTACTAAGCTATGTAACTTACGGCCGTTCGTTTAATATAGGTACCGGCCATGAGTAAATTCCGTCAAATTGTTAATCGAATGAAGGAGTGAATGAACGAATGAACGAATGCACGAATGCATTCGCAGATCGAGCGAGGACCTGATCCACCGGCTGTTCGTGTGCATAGCGGGCGTCGCCGACCAGCTGCAGACCAACTTCGCAGCGGACCTTCGGAACATTCTCAAGTCGGTCTTCCTCATGAACCAGACGCCCGACGCTCCCGACAGCCCGACCGACCAGCCAGATGAGAGCCCCGCCATCGAGTACGAGGCGACCGAAGAGCAGGTCATACAGAATGGTGAGATTCTTTGCGTGATTAGGTCAATGAGGTTCTAGTTAGGAAATTTAATAAAAGTGCGGCGTTTAAATTTTTCCCCTGTTCCGCTTTACATTATGTACATATATAAAATTCTCGTGTTACAATGTTGCCATACTCCTCCGAAACTGTTTGATCGATTTTATGACATTTTATACGTATCCACACCAAATATTTTTTTCTATCCGACAAATTCTCTAGAAATAATTTATATGGCAAAACAACGTTTACCGGTTTAGCAAGTATGACATATAAGTGAAAGGTACGTAAAGAGATAGCAGTCTATAAAATTGTAATCTGTTTACATTTGGCGTAATATGAGCATCAGGATCGGTGTGCTAGTGTCATATCTACATCGTATTGTATATATCATTGGATTAGGAACTAAACCAGCAAGCACTTTACCCGATGTTAGGTGAATACTGTGGCCAATGATTTTCAATGAATACTTTGTCGACGTTTAAAAGACGAAACTATCACTTTTAATTGGTACCATTTTTATATTCTTTGACGCTAAAATTAAATGTAGAAAAAAATTGTACAAAAGGTAGAAGAAGAAAACAATGTTATAAACAGTAATTAAAATAAAACTAGCATACCGGGTAAACGTTGCCCTGTCCACACGACTTAAAACCGAAACTTTAAAAAAATGTGAACCTAAACCATTATCGAATCAACCTGAAGATACACAATAATTTGCATTAAAATCGATCCAGCCGTTTAGGAGGAGTTCAGTCACATACACATGTACAGAAGAAATATATATATAAATATTAAGTTTAATTAAAGTTACGCATGTTACTCTTTACGCTTCTTGCTCTTTCACGCAAATACTACTGAATGGATTTTAATGAAACTTCACAATAATATACTTGAGAATAAAGCATAGGCTATAAATCTATAAACATATTTTATGTACATCTGCCTACCTGTCTAAACGTTACGCCTTCAGCCTATTCTACGCAGACGCAGTCGCGGGCAGCGGTTAGTATATAATATACCATGTTAGATGTTGAACTTGACGCCGTGCCCGTACAGGTAGCTCGTTCGACAGCGTGTACTCGGCGGAGGAGGTGTACGCGGACAGCGCGTCCGACTCGTCGCGCTCGGACTCGAACGGGCGCGGCGCGGTGGTCGACCCGAGTCCGCTCTCCGCTGAGCAGCCGGCGCCGGTGGAAGCCGCAAGGAAGCCCGTGGACGGAGGCGGCAATCTGCAGGCGTCCGTTTCCACCGGCGACCTGACGTACAGGTATGCTACCGTCTTTGTTTTCTTTAAACATTGCCCTTATTTTGGGATAACTTTATCCCGTGTCGTAAGAACTTTTTATAAACATAAATTTCACGCGGACAAACACCCGAATGCGAAACAACTGTCTGCGGGCGACACAAATACTTGTCCCGTGTGCGAAATGAACCCACGACCCACGACGCCGAAGCTAATAGTGTAGCAACGGCGCCCCCAAGTCATTACGCAATACTGATTTCTTCGCTTCGAAATACAGTGTCCAGCTGTATGCTAAAAATAATAGTATCAAGTACCTGCCAGAATGGCGCTCACGTATGATTGGACTACTGTTCTAGACGAAGTGTGCCGTGTTCAAATATTTAAAACATGATTAAAATAATAATCGCAATAAAAATATATCATAAGGCGATATTTCAACCATTTCCGGATCTGGGTGTTTGTTCCCCAAGGAGGGTTGGCGTCAGGCAAGCATTAAACCGCTTACAACAGGATTCACATGTTGTACCGACCCCACCTAGCTGGGATAAGAGCAGGAGGATGATGATACTGCTGATGACACACTCAACTTTGTCCACCGTACTATACGGTTCTCCTTACCTCTACCCTCTACATTTTAACTTCAACATCCTCAGCATACAGCTGCAATACATTTTGAACTTTCCCTCCATACAAGACGGTTCTTCTTACGGATGGGTACAATGTATACTTTAAATCGAACATCCGTTTCTCGTTGCAGGCGAGACGAGGAGCGCTCCGCTTCGCCGTGCGTGGAGCGCGCTCCCGAATGGGTGCCCGACATAGCGGCGCCGTCATGCATGCGGTGCTCGGCTCACTTCACGGCGTTCAGGCGGCGCCACCACTGCCGCAATTGCGGTACGTGTTGCGGCAACTTCACTCGATTGGAAACGAACACCGTCGAGGTAGCGACGGGAAGTTCACCCGTAACTGTCTTCGCTAGTGTACGAATGGGTCTACCTCACAGAAGAATGGCGTCAATTGGAAGTGTTATATTTCTGAGTTTCAATCTGGTGTGTGAGACTTAGCCGGGGTCCGCTTTATTGACAGGTGGCAAAACATCTGCAAGCCTACGAGTGTTGCAAATATCCACGGGCGGTGGTTACCATAACATGAACTGACAGTTTGCTTGCCATCGTCTTTCAAAAAAAAGTAAACCCCTCCTCCCGTTGCCAATTACGGAACCGTAATCCTTCCCGATTACCGGTGGGGAGTAAAGGTTCTTGAGTGGCGACCACGAAGCGGAAGACGTAGCGTTAGAAGGCCTCTCTCTAGGCGGACCGACGACATCATAAGAGTCGTGAGCAACCGGTGGATGCAAATGGCGAAGTGTAGTTCGTTGTAACGTTCTAAGGCCTCCCGCCGCGTAACGCCTCCCGCGAATGTTCAACAGTGGACGTTCTGCAGATGAACAATGATCCGAATGAAAATCCTTACTCCGCAGGCAAGGTGTTCTGCGCTTCGTGCAGCTCAAACTCGATCCCGCTGCCCCGCTACGGGCAGCTGAAGCCGGTGCGCGTGTGCGAGGAGTGCTTCCAGCACGCGGCGCGCCACTGCCGCCGTTCCAACGGACCCCACCACCGGTGAAACGCCACCGGTCGACCGCCGCTGTGTGGCCGTCACGCCCACTCACTGGCGGATATCGCGTCACGTATGAGGACTATAGCGTCGCCCTGTCGTCATCGCGTCATGTTTGAGGACTCTAAGAAGACCCTCTCGCCGGCTCGCGACCGGATATCATTTGACGGTGTCTTGCGTTCGCGCGGATTGCGGCCTAGTGTGGGGCGAAGTTCACTCTCGAAAACTGCGCAAAACCGATTTGGCCTCAACTTGCGATATCAGTTTTGCGCAGTTTTTTTTTTCTCGTCCCAAACGCAACAGACACTTTCTCTTCATTCGAAAAGTCGCTAGTGAATCGGTGAACTCCTTCGCTGTAATATAAAATCGTCGATAAATGAACTTGTTTATTGTAATATCGGCATGGTGATAATGAGGTTAAAAATCGTCAGTGATCTTCTTTGGGTGGCGTGAATTATCCAGCATTAAATACAATTACAAAACCAATCACACAATGCATCACATGTTAATAGAACACCTTGCCGATTAGGTTTAATGTGCTAGAGATTCCTGCCGGTGACCACGTTTGAGATCCAAAACAAGATTCGACGTTAAGATTTTCACGTTTCTCGCAATCTTACTGGGATTCGTACCTGACCTTAGTGAGTGGAATAGTTCATAATTGTATCTAAAGAGAAAACTATATTATGATGTAACAAAAATGTAATGAGAGCTTGAAGTGTTTTGTAATGTATTCGTAATTTGACGTTAAAGTTTCATAATAATATTAAACAGACAAAAAAACTAATATGGACTCCAATGTGGTCCGAATTATTGCCATTTCTTTTCGTCCATTTAGAGTATCCTTGTAATTTTTTCCATTTAAAATTACTCGTGTGATATTTGACGTTATTCCAAGATGTATGCCTTTTTTATCTAACCATATTTTTTGACTAAGCTGTTAATAATTAGTATGTAATTGAATTATATTTTTCCCCATATTGACTGATATAAAATATTGAGAGGTTCATGTTAAGTTTTGAAGTTACTGTTAGTAGCTCTCTAAATATAATTTAACTTTGAAGTTCAATAGAGTGTCTTTGAATATCAAAGTAATTCAAAGAGTGTACAATGCTTTTATGCTCCTGACATAAACAAATATTTTTAGAACAGTAAAACATTGTAGAGAGCCTTTTCAAGATGGTATTGTATATTCTTTGATCGTAAAGTTTCTCTTACATTTCCATAGTTATTATTTTTATGTATTTTCTGCACAATTCAACCGTTAGAGATGATATATTAAAATTTAATCTTCATCTTATGAATGAAACAGTAGCCCAATGACTTTACGAATTTATATCAATTATTATTTACTAACCTACATGATAATAAATTAAATTTCGTTGGCTGCGAAAAACTAAAACCACTTTACCTTTGTTTTCTATAGAAATATTTAAGAGAAACTGTCGAATTATTATTATATGTAAATTTTTTACCCTGCCTTGTATCACCAATTCGATATGTTCTTTTTGTTCTTTGACTAACAATAATGGGTTTCTTTATGATTTACGAGTTGCGTGGGGGCTTTCATTTATTTAGGTTTCTGTTTCACTTGTGTTATACTTTTGCTTTATTAATTCGTACACTATAATCTGAAATGTCGTGCAACAATAGTATTATGTTGAGTGCAAATGTTACAGCACCTTAATAATGTTTAGTTATAGAATTAAAAAAAAGAGCGCTTGCGATTTAAGAACTTTATTGGACGCAAGTATAGTGATCTCTTCGCGAAATAATATGAAAAAAGAAAAGCTGATAATATTGTAAATAATCGGTTTTATTAGAGATAGGAATCTATTTTTTAAGAAATAAAAATGAAAGGATGTTTATATTTTTAACGTAAAATTGTAACGGTTAGATATCATAAAAGTGAATATAAAAAAAATTCTTTTTGAAAGGTTTCCACAATTTTTTTTTATATAATATGAAAGGTGTTAGTTGTTAGGTATTTTTCTATTGTAAGTCTAATGTTATCAATATCAGTTGTATGTAAATTTTGTAAAGGTTATTATTAGTGAATATTATGTAATCACTTATTTTAGTGTTTCATTAGCGACTGTTTAATAGCTTTTTGTATATTATATTAAAAATAATATGGTAAATAATTACTAAAAGCGTACTAATACCTGTTTGCGAGACCACAAATGTCTGAGTGATAATATGTTATATATTTTAATCATAATATGAAGAAAATGTCGGATTATTAGCACATTGGCAGTTTTATTAATTACCCACAGTGCCTTATGGAAAAGCTGTTTTGATGCAGTCATACCCCTTTTGTAATATTTAAGTAGTATTGAAAAAAATACTTATTTGAATCGACTCATAACTTATTTTATAATAACATTCACGATGTTTATAGATTCTTCACTGTATCAATTTTATGGAACTATCAAGTCGAAAGTCGAGTCAAACTTTGACTAAATTTTTGTTCAACATAGGCTTATTTTAAGCTCTTATTGAACTTCAAAACCTACCACCGATTCATTAAACTAGACCTGCAAGAGAAGAACCGGCAAGAAACTGCGGTCATATTTTTTTTCTTTTAATTATTTAAGTATATACACAAAATTATTTTAGTATAATTTAGCAGGAGCCAGGAGACTTGCAAGTGCAGAGCAAGAGTTATTTCCACACATTCACATCCTTGTCCTCAATATGTTCCTCGACATTATAATGGGCCCTTTCCATTAAGGTGTCTTTTACAAAATGTTTGAAATTATTTATACTTAATTGTTTGTGGACACCTATTCTATTATATAAGTTAATACATACCAAGAAACGATTTCCTGGGTTTAGCTAGTCTAAACCTTGGTATTTACAACGTGTCACCACGGCCCCGACGCGATGTTGTATGTTTTTTTGTAAAAAGTGTATGTTATTTCGTACATACATGATGTTCTCAAGTATGTTTAACGACGGGCGCATTAAGATGTTTATTTGTGTAAAAATACCTATGCCGAAGGGACTCACGTGGTGGACCCAGGCCATAGACAGCCCGTATCGCTTGCTTTTGCAATACAAATATCGTGTCTAAACCGGATGCGGAACCCCAAAGTAAGACACCATAAGACAATACTGTGAAAATAAGCATAATAGACTAATTTAGCTGTTGCCTCGTTTGTTAGTTGCCTGATCTTGCGTATGGCAAAGACGGCAGCACTCAACTTCTTAGCTTATTTATCTATATGAACTTACCATTGCAACTCTGAGTCAATGCATATTCCAAGGAATGTTGTTTAATCCTCAAGAAGTAGGATGTTGTCATCAATAAAGATTCCTGGTGTGTGAGACAGCTTTGATAAAGTAAATCTGATACATTTAGTCTTAGTGGCGTTCAAAAGTAAAGTATTGGTCACAAACCAGCCCGGCACGACACTTAGTATTTCATTTAGTTGCTCTAATATCTTTCCTATTAACCTTAAGCAACAGTTAAGTGTCATCCGCAAACAAAACGATTTGAGAACTTTTTTCTACTATATATGGCAAATCATTTATTTGGACTAAAAACAAATGGGTCCAGGATCGATCCCTGAGGAACACCCATTTGTACTATTGACCCCGATTACAATATACCATTTGTAGTTACTCTTTGCTCCCTATCGCTAAGATATGAGGAAACAAAATCAATGGCAGATTTTCGAATGGTATTCGAAAATCTTAATAAGATTCTTATGAAATATTCCAATTTCTTAATAAGATTCTTATGATCTAAGAGTCAAAAGGCCTTGGAAAGTTCACAGAACACACCAATGGTGTCATGGAACGTTTTCCAAGACTGCAGGATATGCGAAATTAATTCTACTCCAGCATAGTAGTAGATCTACCTTTCGTAAATCTCATGCCGGTTAAAAATTTCATATTTATTAAAATGAAATAGCATCTAATCCAGCATTATTTTATCAAATATTTTACATAAGGCTGGTAAGATAGAAATGGAACGGTAATTAGAGGTATTTTCTCTTGAGCTATTGCTATATTTCATTAATTTTGGAATCTTGCAAGAATCTAAACATGAATTAAATATTTAGGCTAATAAACAAGCAATATCACAGATTATAAGATCTAATGCTTATATTGGTAATAGGTCCATAGGTCTTCAGTTTTCTTTTAAATTTAAATTTTCAAAAGTCTATAATAATAATATTCGGACCTATGTGGCAAAACTTAAAATCTGGAATGGAAATATTAACATATTTATCCAGATATGTTGCTGCCTCTGTGGGACAGTGTTGCAAATGCCTAGTAGTTTCAAAAGGCGTATTTGTGAAAACATAAAGAAACTCATTTGCAACTTTATAATTTTCTTTATGTCAATTTGGAAACATAGAGTATGATGCAATTCTTCCCCCAAAATGCTCGTGTACCGGAAATTTCTATGAACTTTAAATGATAACCAGTGATACTGAAGAAACTGCTGCAAATACGAACAAAGGCTTATAACACATGAACGTACTTACGTCAGACAACTTTATTACCACTGGGCATAAAATCTTTTTGCAGATGAAGCTTTTTAATTACCGGTATAAATATATTTAGTACCCATTGTCTGATTCTTTGACGTCATTACAACAAATGTTACGCTGTAACATGACAAAAAGTGATTGCCGCCCAACGTGGGGCTCGAACCCACGACCCTGAGATTAAGAGTCTCATGCTCTACCGACTGAGCTAGCCGGGCTGTTAAAAACCGATCGTAAATATTTAAATGACTGGGATACAAACGGCGAAGGTGTGGTTTGGGGAAAGCATAAGTCAAGAAAGTAATAAAACCGTTTAAAAACTTTTAAGTTAAACGGTTTTATTTTATGTGCACTGAAAACTACAATATTGTATTGTCATCTAAATTAAATGTGTGTACCAAATTTCAGATCAATCTGACAACGGGAACGTGCTTAAATTTCAATTTTTAGTTTTGACCCAAATAAACAAATAAATTCTGTACGGGTCGAGCTAAATAAAACCGT